GGTTGTGATGGACAAAGGGCACAATTACTCCCAATTAGCATCAGTGACAGCAAGCCCAGAGTGATGCAGCCGGACCAGCTGCTGCACATAGGATTGCAGCTGCCTCTGTTTGAACCCGCCAATGAAACCATTGCCCCTTGCTTGACCGGATGCCTTGTGGATGCCTTGCTGTGTGTGCTCAGACAGCAGTCCTGGCCTTCCCTGTGGCCATGAGCCGCACGGCTGCTTCTGCAGTGTCAAGAGCTGCAGCTCGTCCTTAGAGACCATGCGGTCTCTGAAGCTTGATCTCAGGATCCCTCACTTGTGAGATCTTCCTAAGTGTCTGAGAGCATCCACAAACACCATCCGTAAATGCATCCTCAGGGCCACCAATTATTTTACATTTCAAAAGTCAGTTATTTTAACTGCAGTTGGCTGAGCATCTCCCCTCCTCCCCCAATGCCCACTGTAGTCACATCTCTTTCTCTAGGTGAGGTGAAAATGTCGAGTCCCGCAGGCACACGGGGTGGCGGGGAGAACTAGGCTTTGTGTTTGCATTTATGGAGATGTGTTCACATGGGTCGCAGACACTCCCGCGCACATCACATCGCATTATTGCAAGTCATCCCGAGGAGGAATGGCTTTCTAAAACACTCCTTTCGCCTACTGTGCCAACTCAGCCACCCACTGGTGCGCAGATCCAGGACCTGAGGTCATGTGGAAACAAATGAGCCCTACGGCTCTCAGTGCTGAAGTGTATGGAGCCAGGAAAGATGTGGGAAGTTCTCTCCAGACAACAGACACAGAAGCCTGTAGGATGAGGATCTTGCTCTTCATTCTTCAGACCAGAAGTCCCTTCTTAGCAAGAAGGAGCCTGAAAGTGCAGTTATGAAATCATAAAGAAACAAGGACCTTTGTTGTTCTTTTGCTGTGTTAGGGATCAATCCCAAGACCTCACACATGCTAGGCGAGCGCTTGACCACCGAGCCCCAGCCCTAGCCCTGAGGTTATTAGCAATGAGTGTTATGAACAGCAGAATTTATGGGAATTCCTGTTTGTACAGTGTGAATTCCACACAGAACAAGCATGGCAAGCCACGATAGAAATGAGAAAAGATTTTCAAGTTTTACTATAATCATACAATGAATATGACTTGGCCAATTACAAGATGAGACACTAAAAACATAATAATACAATCATCAATTCAAGACAAAAATTCTGGGGCTGGAGAGATGACTTGGTGGTTAAGAGCAGTGTACCGCTCTTGCTGAGGTCCTGCCTTTGGTTCCCAGCACCAATATGAATGGCTACAACTGCCTAGAACTCCAGTTTTAGGAGACCTGATACCTCTTCTACCCTTGGGGACATCTGCATTCACACATGTGCACACGAGTGTGCACGCACACACACAAATCAAAACAAGTATTTAAGAGGGAATGTGGATCCACCATGAGAAAATGTTAAATCCCTTGCAGGTAGGGCTGTAATCAGACGAAAAGATAATCAAGGGCCAGGAAGATGCTCAGCAGGAAAACATGGCTTCTCTGGCCGGAACCACAAGGTAAAAGAGAACCGAACCAGACAAGTTGGCCTCTGACCGGCACATGCATCCCACGGTATGTGTGCACCCACCACCATCACACATAGAATGAATCTGCGGCAGAATGTTCTCAAGAAGGAAACCTGCACTTTCACTTTTCGTGAAACTTGTGGTATCTGTCACCTTCAGAACATTTAGTTTCTTACAATTTTTCTCCCAGTCTGTATGAATTATTGATACGTGTGTGTGATTGTTTATATACACTTTGGGTAACTAAAGCTTCAGCATCTCTACCCCCAACCTTCTCACTGGCCAGGGACGAAAGGGGGAAGGGAGGCAATATTAAAGTTCACGTTTGTTTTTCTCATGGCTGGTGAGTCTGCGTCTCGGTGCAAGATCTCACATAGAGGAAACAGGGCTGGTTTAGGCCGAAAGTGGGATAGCACATTTAAAACCGAAGTGTTGTCTTTGATTGCATGTATGTGTATACATTTGTGTATGCGTACGTACACTTTAGCGCAGGTGTCCATGGAGGCCAGAAGAGGGCATTGGATGCCCTGGGACTGAAGCTGCAGGTGTTTGTGAGCTGCCTGAGGACAGTGCTGGGAGCTAAACTTCAGTCCTCTGCAAGAGACGTAAGCCCTCTTAACTGCTGAACCTTCTCTCTAGTACCAGAAACAATAATCAAAACAGCAACAACAACTTTTATTTGCATTTATTTTGTTTTGAATGTGTTTTCATGCCATAACTTTTTGTTTCTTTGGGAATATCTTTTTTTTTCTACTGTACAAACTCTGCCTTAGGCAACATTTGTTCTTTTCTGGTATCTTAGTCAAATGTTCTATTGAGAAGAGACACCACGACCATGGCACCTCTTATAAAAAAAAGCATTTAATTGGGATTGGCTTACAGTTTCAGAGGCTAGTCCATTACCAGCATGGTGGGAAGCATGGTAGCCTGCAGGCAAACATGGCGCTGGAGAGGTATGTGAAACTTCTACATCCAGATCTGTAGGCAGCAGGAAGGAGAAAGACTGGGCCTGCCCTGAGCATTTGAAACCCCGAAGTCTGCCCTCAGTGACATCCTTCCTCCAACAAGGCCGAACCTCCTAGTCTCTGTCAAGAAGAGCTGCTCTCTAATCATCAAGCATTCAAATATATGAGCCCATGAGAGCTGTTCCTATTCAAATCACCACATCCAGAGAAGGGTCTTTCCATGTGACAGGGGATCTCACATATGTGCTAATCTGACCATGATCTCTATTACGATTGGTGGCACGTTTGGGCACCTTGGTGATCTGGATATGTGGAATGCTAGAGAACCAATAACTAGAGGCTTAAGTTCAGAAGAGCTCTCTCTATTTTTAAGGATATGTGGTAAATGCTCGGCACTTTTTCTAGGCCACCGACCTTGTGTCCTGCCTGGGCACTTTCCAACCGTGCCATTATAGCACCAGAATGCCACACTATCTCTCTGGGGTTTTTTTGTTTTTTGGGTTTTTTATTCTTTTGTTTGTTTGTTTGTTTGTTTGTTTGTGTTTGTTTTTGCTTTTGTTTTTGTTTTTGTTTTTTCATTTTGAGTCAAGTTTTCACTAGGTGGACCAAGCTGGCTTCAAGCTCATGAGATCTGCCCTTTCCTGCTTCCCTGTATCCAACGTGCTGGGAATAAAGGCGCGTGCCACCACACCCAGCCCCACCTTGCCTCTTTGAAGTGACATCTTTTAGATGTGGCTTTTGGGATAGGAAAACACTCAATGTCCTGAGCAGATTCGTGGACATTCTTAAAGTGAATACAGACAGTTGAACCTCTTGACTTATATGGGTTTGCAGGGTTTTCCACGTCAAGAGTCGTGAATGATGTTCATAGGTCACCCAGGCTGCTTACAGGGAGAAACTGAAGGCAACATTAGTACTTCTCCGAACTGACAGGCAGTGCAGGCTGGACTGACGGTAGACACTATATTTGGTTGCCTGGTAGAAAGAGAATCCAGACGTCTTCCTGACTGGGAGTCAGTCTTACCCTGCCTATCTAAACCTTGCTTCGCTTCAGGTGCTGGGGATTGAATACGGGGGCCTTGTGCGTGTCGGATGATGGGGCCTTGTGCATGCCGGGTGAGTGCTGTTCCACAGAGCCATACCTGAAACTCGGGTTGGAAATGTGGGCCATGATTCGCTGGGCGAGAGCTCAGCTTTGGATTCTGATTTGCACAGCTGAGTGTAGCTAACCCGAGGTGTCCCAGGGCTTGTGGAGCGAACACAGGAATGACTCATGAATTTTTAATTGGTAAATGACTGCTCTTAAGTGTGTGGAGCCGGATCGTTCTCATAAGTAGGTTAAACATATCCCTCATCCATTATTTCATGGTGTTCAATTATTTAATAAATCCCTTTCTGCAACAGGGCAAAGGTGAACTTTTGTAGGCCCCCTCTGGGTGCTCATCAATTCTGTATGAGCGGCACCCAAGGTAAAGAAGCTTTGCTGTTACCGTCATCCTGCTAACTCCATTCGCCATCCTTCCTCTGGTTTTTAGAGGAAGCTGTCTTATTTTATCTCTACCAAATCTTCAGTGGTAAATGGGGCAGGGACAATCATTTCCCTTTAACACGTTTAGAAGCAGAAAGGAAGGCTCAATTGCTCTTCTATTAGGTTGTACTTGACCAGAGGAAGAAATATGATTAGGATCCAGGTCTTTGGATGTCCAGGTCACCGCAGAGGTTGTTACTTAGGAATGAATGTCTGGGGTAGGCAGATGGGCGGTCTGGTTCTTTCCAGTTGCTTACACGTGTCAGCTGAAAGCCCGAACAGCCCATGATGACAGGAACAGGAGTGATTTAATCACGCAAAGTCAGGGAGAGATTTGGAATTCACTCTAAATACTAAAGGAACAGCAATGGGCAGTAACTAGTCCCTGAAAGTAAAGTGGACAGTGTCCTGACCCCTCTAACCAGTCTGTGCACATGGCTAAACACACTGCCTGAGCATTTAGTGGTGACTGTCACCTAGCTCCAAGTCTGTGGAGCAGAAGCAAGACATTTGGGTCCAGGTCATTTGGTTAGCATTGACTCATTTGTACTGACTCGTCCTATAACAGATGTTTGCAATTCAGCCCCAGGAAACGGATGCAGACAATCCTCCCTGTACGTGTGCTCCTCTGCGTGTTTGTACCTGCTCCGGGAGCCTTTATTTAAATATTGATCAACAGTAAGCCTGTCACCATAGCCACCCAGCCAGGGCCTTTCTGCTCTACCTCCTAGTGAAATCGGAGCTCCCTCTGAAATACAGGCTCGTGTGTGTCTACAGTATCCTGGTCCTTGGATCTAAGTCTGGAAATTAGCTATTGTTAGATTTTTCCCTTACACATGCATGTATGCACACATGCACACACACACACACACACACACACACTCAGAGGGGGGAGGGAGGGAGAAAGGGAGGGAGGGAGGGAAAAAAAGAGGAGGGAGAGAGAGAAAAGAGGGAAAGAGGAGAGAGAGAAGGAGGGGAGAGAGAGAGAGAGACCTCACTGACACAAACATATATCCTGGGCACATTTTAAATGTGTAAGTGACATCGACTCGGTTTGGGTCAATTTATACATTAATCAGGGGAGGCCACTGTTAGTCACCGTCACACTGTGTAGAGCAGGTTGGCCACTAACTCACCATGCCGTCCCTCAGCCTCCATAGTGCTGGGATCATAGGCATGTGCCACGCATGATCACACCCCACAGCCAGAACATCTTCTGCTTGCATTCACTGCTTCCGAGAAGATGCTCTCAGAGTTCCCTCCATGCCTCCGCAGTGACGTGCCTCTCGTCTACAGCTAGCTGGAAGGAAGCGAAGAACGAGGCAAGAAAAGAGAACCCACGCTTTGTGAATGTGGTCTGGACTCCACAGTCTACACACACAGACCTTCTCTTTTCTGACCTCTGCCCAGACCTGAGGGCTTAGGGTTGCCCCATCTGTACCGAGGCTCTTAATGATTAAGAACTTTTCACCCCAGGTTGCATTTAGAGTTGACTCTGGTCTGCTCATCCTGAAGATTCACCTCCAATGTCCAAATCTGGAAAATCAAACAACAATTTGTCAAACTCAAGGGGCTCCATGGACTTCAACCGACGAAGTCAGTCTGCATTGGTGAGTCACCTTACACTCAACGCCTGGCATTTCAGCACTGCAAGGCAAACTCATAAAATTTTTTATGTGGTGGAACTGCTGATAAAGGCTAATCTGCTAAGGATCCAGAGAACAGACTGTTCTTTACTTACCTAATTGTTCCTGGATGCTAATGTCCCAGCAGCGGCATGAAGAATCTGTCTGCAGATTTCACCAACAGCCTTGGCTTTTCCCTGCGGTTGAGAGGGATCTTCGATTCGGCATTCAGCTCTGTGGTGCTCTACTTGCTTTCTCTGTAAAATGAATTCAATAAAATACCGGAGATGCAACGGCACCATGTATACAGTAGAGCGCAAAGAAATATGGGGTCTTGATGTGGGAGTTTAAGAAATACAAGCAGGATATAAAATATCATGACTAAACAACAGCTGGATAAAGAATAATAAACACATGAATAAATAAAAGCTGCCGCCTCTCACTGTGCCCTACAGGCCCTGTTCTGGGAAGCGAGGCAGGCATCAGGCTGAGGGCTAAGCATTGTGACCAGAGGCTCTGCGCTAAGAGCTGCAGGCCCTAAACTGAGTGCTGTGGGGTCTCGGTTAAGTACTGTAGGCTCCGCATCCAATGTTACAGACATTGCACTGAGCGCTCCAAGGATTGTGTTAAGTACTCCACGCCCCGCACCGAGTGCCTGTGATCATTATTTTGCGTCAGCCTTTCAATCCTGTGAGACAGGTATTTGTTCTTCTGATTTACAGATGGGAGCGAACGAGGTGCGGAGGAATTTTCTCTGTCTCACATCCGGGAAAAGGCTGCGCTGAATGAGAGCCCAGCCCGGATGATCTCTTTCCAAAGGATGTTACACCATTAAGTTTCACCGTGTCCCATATGTAAATCTAAAAAGGAGAAGGATGGAAGGAAGGTGGGGGGGAGGGGAGCTATTTTCTAACAATGAGGTTAACTACCAAGGACAAACACTTGACCTACACACCTTGCCAGATTTCATTCAAGCCCACCCCTCATTGTGTTGGCACCCTGGAAGAAAGTCTCATTGGTTCTGTGGGCACCACCTCTGCGCTTGGCACTCCCTCACAGATCTGCCCTTACAGTTACAGCACCGCGGCATCTACAGAGCTGACCGCCGTTCTTCCGGATCCTCTAGTCTTTTAGTCCAAGGGCCACAGCTCTCTCCCATCTCCTCCATCCACACGCCCTACTTTCCTCTCGCGGTCCCAGCAGGTTCTTCTCATTCTCAGGCTTCCCCGTTCCATGCTGTCAGGGGGAGTCCGTCCCACCACTAATTTCCATCTGCTCTCAACACATCACCCAAATATAGGCTCTGCCTACATTCTTACACCGTGCCGATTGCGTCCGCCTAACTCAGAACCTCAGTCTCTCCCCTCCACTATCCCCACTGCCTGTCTCACTGCACAGTGCAGTTGCCCCATGAATATTTCCCGAGCTTCTCTTCAGGTACCTGGATGGAAACCAGTATTATTGGCGTGCAATAATATTAGAAATTCAGATTTTGAAATTTCCCCTGTAAGAAGTAATAGGAAAAAGTACTCAGAGGTTTATTTCAAACAGTCAAAGCATTTTGGATTCAGTTGAGAGACTAAGCCAGAGTTTGAATTAAAATCAGCATAGACTATTCCCCCTTGGCCTAATGGTCAGAGCCCTGGCTGGCTACGGCTCTGAGAACTGACAGTGATCATCAATTTACTGCTAGCCTTGGGCCAGAACAGACCACGTTGGCAGGTGTCATGAATAAAATGGGTATTAGCACCAGGGCAGCAGGGTCTGAACTCTACCTAGCCTGGCCTTCCTCGGGCTCTTGTTTTTGTTTGTTTGTTTGTTTGTTTTGTTTTGTATTCTTCTATGTCATGAATCTCTTTAGCAACTGGCAGAGCCTATGGACAATAGCTTAGTATAAAGTTTTTAATGTGTAAATAAAATATATAAGATTATAGAAGGGAAATTTTGTTAAAATACTGTTGAAACAATGTCAAGACATCTCCGAATATTTGGAACTGGTGCTCACATAATCCGTCTGCTTCGCGAGGCCATTAAGCAATGCAGTCTAGAGGCGGGTTTCCCAAGTACCAAAATATTGCCATAGTGATGAGTATGGGGAATATTTCCAGATGTTATTAGCGGGGATGCGACATTAAGTGATCAGCAGTGTCTACTACAGCCAGAGATGCCAGTACTGCTATTACTACGGTGACTTGTGGCTTCAATTTGACTAGAAGGAAACCCCAAATTTCTGCTGGAGTCTAATTGTTAGAGGTCAGTGGGGGAGAGGAGGGGAAAGGTTGCTCGCACTGCATTTCAAATTCTATGCAAATACCTGTGAATAGCCCCAGAATAGAACTCAGGAAAAACTAGCAGCCTGTCTATTTTGGTGTCCATGTCTGAAACCTGGGGCTTGACAGTCATTGGTAGTATTTTCCACAGCAGTGGGGTAGTTAAGGACTCCTCAGACACTGGGTAGCATCTTCCTGTCACTCACTTCTGGTCATAACCAGAGTCGCTTCTCTCAGCTGACCAATAGGAAGTCATCTCCCCCTCATCCACCATGATGCTGAGGGGATAAAACTCACGGCATCCTGTATGCTATCGCTGAACTCTGCTACCAGCCTGCAGAAGGAAGCCACCTCCTAAAAGTGCATTGTATTTGCCATTCATTCATTCATTCATGTGTGTGTGTGTGTGTGTGTGTGTGTGTGTGTACATGGAAGGGACATACTTGTCCCATGCAAGGTCTGTGTCGTTCCGAGGACAACTGATGGGGGGAATCAATCCTCTCCTTCTCCCATGTAGGTCTCAGGGACCAAACTCAGGTCACCAGGCTTGGCAGCAGGTACCCATCCCCACGGAGGTACCTCATTGGCCCAGAAGTCATTTTCTGCAGCAAAGAATTGCTATTTTCACAATATTCCTTATTGGCCAGGAATTCTGGCTCGAAAGAAATGCAGATGTCTTCGGAAGTAAAAGGCTAACCTTTATGAGACCACTGTAGAAAGCCAAGGGCTGGCTAAGTACTGGGGAGCCATCACCCTAAGATTTAGTGAGACATCTCTCTCGTTATAAGTTAGGGAGGTTCGACACTTGCTGACTCGGGAGAAGATCTGAGTGATAACATCAAAATATACACATGGGACAATCTCCCAGTCTTATTCCTGTCTGTCCATGACCCTTCTCAACCTTCCTAATGCTCGGGGCGCAACCCACAGGTTAAGAACACTGCTTTACAGAGACTACATTGTTTGCCAAACAAAATCCTACTGGGTGTGCACCTTTGGGCTTCCAGGAGCTTTCTCTAAAGCATAGCTATAAATGTGCCTGTGTCTGCACGACCTTACACAACCAACTCTCCAGCTGCTGTCCACCTCAAGACAGGATCTTTACCATCTCTGGGAGACATTGAGCTGGTTTCCAAGCACTCAAGAGGAAGGGCTTTGCTCTGGGCTGAGGCATCCAGCTCCGCCCTCAGTCACAACCTGTGCGTCTCTTCAAGCTCTGTAGTTAGTAGAGGAATCGTTCCTTAGACTTCCCTTATTCCAGAAGCACTTGAGGAAACCATTGCAACACAGACTGCTGGACCCACTCACCCTCCCGCCCACCTCTGGTTTGATGGGCCAGAGGATAGGCCTGGCCAACACCATGTTAACAAGCTTCTGTGTTTATTGGGATAATGTGATCCATTTCCAGGATGCTTGGGCAGATCTAGAAAACAAAGATGATAAGGAGACAATATAGCCAAAGTGTTAAGCCCCTGACAGAAATTTAATAACTACCCTTATTTAATAAGGGTGTGTTGTTGTAGGGAGGAAGGGATGGCATCAGAACAGTCTGGAAGCAATGGAAAAGTGGTGGTGGGGAGAGGAAGGAGGTGAGCATGCATCCAGAATAAAAAAATTAATTAATTAATTAAAAAAAAAACAAACGGGTGGCTCGGCAGTTAACAGTACTGGCTGTTCTTCCAGAGGACCCGAATTCAATTCCGAGCACCCACATGGCATCTCAAAACAATCTATAAGCTCTAGTTCCAGGGGATCCGATGCCCTCTCTTCTGACCTCTCAGGCAGGCCCATGGTACACAGACACAAATGCATGTGACATCCATCCACACAAAATGCAATTTAAAACAACCACAATAATGAACTCACGTCATGACTGAGTGTACAAAACACATGACTGGTTCAGAAAGCCGCCAGACACTGCACTTGTCTGAAGCAGGTGTGGATGCTAGGTACATATGCAGGGGCTGCATAATGAGGTTCCTTTGTGTCATACCCGAGGGTCTCAGGGCTGTTCTGAAAGATGGGGAAGCACTGGAGACTTTAAAGCAGGTCAGCAGCAGGCAGTAAGGACATGGGGGGAAGACGGGCTCCAGGCTGGGGTCCAAGCGTATGTGGATGTGATAATATGCAACGCACAGAAGTGTCTCAGAAGCGCAAGCTGTTGGGGAAGAAGATGAGTTAAAATAGAAATCTGCTGTACTGGAGGTCTCCACGACACATCCACAAAGGGACATCAAAGGGTAGGACATCAGATACATGACTCTAATGAGCTAGAGGAATCTGGCAACATAAATTTAGCAGACCTTAGCACAGGGGTTTCCATAAGACAACTCACACTCCCAGGACTAGTTAAAGTAGCTCAGAGAGGGTAGGGCGTAAGGGAAGGCTTGAAGACAGAGTCTGGAGAACAACACTCAAGAGCGGTCTCCAGTGGAGCTGAAGTAGGCACTGCCTGTTTCCTCTTCCCACCACATCTGCATAGGGGTCGGTTCTGGAGTATGGGATCATCAGGTCAGCCTTGGCCAAAGGAAGCGACGGGTACCTATCCAGCACCGCACTTGGCTGGCAGAAGCCGTGTGAGCAAACAGCGCCAATGGGTGTTGTTGCAAGCAAGAGTCCCGCCTGATAAGGATGAGAGTGAGTGCCATCCCACACTGCCCTCCTCGTTCCTCAACTGTCGCTCTCTCTGGAGAAGAGAGTGGGGGGACAGCTGCTCACCCTCTAAGAAGAGTTTCTTCTCCAAGCAGCTTTCTCGTGAGTGCCTTTGTTGGATTTGCCGTGGCTCAAAAATCTTCCACAGAGAGGAAGATGCTGAACCATGAGTCATCAAAAAATAAATGCAGTCCACAGTTCTCTTCCTTCAGATAAACAAGACACCAACGTGGATCTTATTTCATCCTGCCAGGCCTAGCATCTGGGGCTCAGCCAAACCTCCACAGACAAGCAGGGACCTGTACCAGGCAGCCCTGAGCCCTCGCCTTTCCCTTCCTGTCTCAGACTTCCGAATAGTCTGGTACCCTGGGGAACAACTCCGAGCTCAAAGGCATGACCCAGAGGAGGCTGGGATGATGGAGTACAGAAACATAAAGGGGCCAGGTGGTGGGCTGCATGCCTTTAATTCCAGCACTTGGGAAGCAGAGATGGGCAGATCTCTGTGAGTTCAAGTCAAGTCTGGTCTGGCTCCAAAGCAACACAGAGAAATCCTGTCTCAAGAAAAACAAAATAAAACAAACAAACAAACAAAAAACAACCCAGAAACATAAAGGGATCCAGTACCTTCTCTGTGTGGAGAAGGACAACAGAGGAGCAGTGGGAGTTAGTCTCTAGGGATGGAGGAAGGACACATCAGAGACCATCTAAGAAAATGTTCTTAGATGTTTGCAAAGATCCAAACTGCAGGTAAATTAGAAGGCAGTTTCTATTTTCCTTCTCTCATCTATGAAAAGCTTGTGTTCATACTGAGAATCTTGTCTTAGCCATCCATAAGACACACTTTGTGAAAGGCAAGGAACCGATGTCAGGACCTTGCTTACCCTCAGAGGGTTTTCTCAAGGAGGAAAGTGATGACTTACCACACGGGAGAAACAGCCCCATCCTGACTTCAGGGAGGGCAGGGCTGGAAGTTCAGAAAGGCAACTGCTGGGGCACTGACAGGATTATCACGGGCTTGGCAAGCCCAGGAAGTGCTCAATCAGACGGAATGGAAACACAGTGTACGGATGGAAATCTCATCTTGTGGCGGATCTTTATTACCACTGGCGGGGGCGGCCAAGAAGCAGGGAGCAAATCTAAGGCTGCCCAATTGCTGCCTAAAACATAACAGCACAAAAAGTCTTCCTCCAGTCCGGGAGGGCTGGGGCAGCGGTGGTAAACACCTGGGCCTGCCTGGAGCCATGGAATCCAGGGCCCTAAGTACCTGAGGCTGGAACATGCTATTCTCACCGGCTGAGTTCCTGAACTTTCTAGGTGAATTTGTCCCTATTTTAATCATGAGCTGGAATGTGAAGGCTTTAACTTTAAACCTAAAGAAGCAATTTCTTAAGGCAGTGTTTCATGAAAAGGGGAGAAGTGGGACAAAGGCCATCTCTGGCCCCTGCTCTCTGAAGAAGAAGGAGGTGGTGCGGGAGCCCAGCTCCGGCTGATTCTGGGCTCTCCCATGCTTGTGGTTTAGGCTCCTAAAGCTATCTGGGTGGGTGTGGTCATGCATCTGCCAGTCAACAGCCTCATTAGAAGCCCAGTGTGTGGTGAGAAAGGAGGGACTTTCTTTCTTTTTTAGTTTTTTGTTTTGTCTTTTTGTTTGTTTTTGGTGCAAGGTCTCACTATAGTCCTGGCCTAGAACTTGATATGCAGACCTTAAATTCACAGAGATGCCCCTGCCTCTGCCCTCTCAGTGCTGGGTTTAAAGCTGTAGACCACCACATGAGCCAGCGGTCCCTTTCTTAGGTCCTCCTCTCCCACCCTCTTTGGAAGTGGGGAAAAAGCAACTCTCCTTGGGAATAGACAGACGCCGGTTAAACTCGTACAGTTTGAATGAGATAAGCGTCGACACCCCTGAGGTTGGAACTTTCTTTAACTTATTTGCTGCTGCATGACATTTTTCCCAAAGACCGCCTACACGGGGACTTGGGGGAGGGAAATCCAGCCTCCCATGTGACACAAGAAGAGGGGAGGCCTGGTGCCCTTCAGACCTCAGTGCCTCAGCCACTTCCCAGGTCTCTTCCAAGACAGCCCCTGGGCCTCTTCAACCCTCCTTGCTCAGTTGAAACACTGAGTTGACCCACACCGCTAAGTGTCTGCTTTGCCCGCAATCCCTCCCTCCCCTGCACCCCTCCCACTCCCCAACCACTGCCCCACCCCCTACAGCTGCACACATAGGCTTGATAGAAGAAGCTCATAGGAGACCCAGATGACCGGTGACTCAGCCAGTCCTTGTCCTGGTGCCTGAGGAGGCCTCTGGGCCAAGACTGAAGTGACCATTTAGGACAACCAGTAGCTCCAGTTCAGGACTTGGCTACTGGATGGTCTCTTGAACCTTCATTGTGTAAACCTCAAGCCAACAAGAGCTCGGTCAAGTCACACAGTGGAAGCCTTCTAGCCTTCTCTGTCAGCAAGCAGGAAAAACACTGGGTTGTCTAGCTAGACCACTGGTCTAAATTAACCTTCTGCAGAATAAATGTATCCTTAGTACTCACACCAAAACCAAACTCATGTGTTCTGCTTTGGGAAAGGGTGGGCTGCTCTGTTTCTAAGCAGACTGTATCAGCAACCCACTTATGGTTCCGTACTCAACCCTCCAGAACGCTAAAAGTCAAGGTCACGAATGTCACCAAGGAACCTGTAATTAACAGCCAAGCATAGCATTAGAGTCTCTAAATTGCCTCACTTTGATTAAAAAATGGGGAGAGAGAGGAGGGAGACTTTTTTTTTTAAAGAGAGAGTTAACGTTTTTAATTTAATTTCATATTTTAGGTAATAAATAAACTTTTTGGTTCATAACTTTTTCTTTTATAAAGAGATAAAAATATATTTAAAGTAAACCCTGATTAAACTGCATAGCCACCTTCTAGGTGGTTTGTAGCCAATAGCAACATCACAACCACTGAGTAGCTAAAGAGATGCAATTCCCATCCAAGCATGGGCTCACGCGCGCGCACACACACACACCCACACCCCCCTCCCCCCCAAACACACACTACAAATAAGGAAAAGGTGGTTCAGGTGAGGAAAGAGACTTTCTTCCCATACTAAGCTGGCAGGCTGCAGGAACAAGAGCGAGCCCCACTTTTACAGCTCTTAGATGTTTTGGCTGTGGTCTTAGGAAACAATCACGAAGCAGTTAATTCACATCTCTCAGACCCGCTGTTTCGCTTATGCTGCATTTTAAACAATATCATCAGACTCCTTTAGATTCAGCCCACACCAAAAGCCTGCCTGGCCTAAGTCCTGCATGCATTTGAGGTACGAGTCTCCACAGGTTTTCAAAGGTCCCTTGTGGCTTTTGTGACGACAAGGAGAGTTCGGTTATTCCTGAAGAGCCAGAGCCTAGGACTTGTTCTGGGTGGGAGGCAGCAGTGTGGCAAACTTGCTGGATATCAGCTTTGTTGCTCACAGATTCAGAAGTCCAAAGTCACCTGTACTTGCAGAGATTCTCAGGAGATCAGTGTGGGCTGGGGTTGCAGGTAGGAGCACTTTCGAGGGCTCCTTGGAGATTTACAGGTGTAGAGAGGATTAAAAACCATGAGAAAGCTAGGTTTTCAGATGAAACTGGGCTTTCAAAAGTCGTTACCCCTGAGGAAAAGCACACCGTTTTGGTCTGACTTTCCCGTACTAAACTAGACAGCCAGGATCTTCCATACACTGACTGTTCTTTTATGCTTTAATCAGATTCCTGCAGACAAGCAGTAGCCTACATCTGGTGGCCCTGATCCCTCATCTTCCTGCTATATGAGCCTGAGCAATTTGACGAATCACAAATAGTGTGTGTGTGTGTGTGTGTGTGTGTGTGTGTGTACATACATATGCACTGAAAACAAGCCATATGCATTTATTCTGATTCGCCTTCTGTCGCTGGAATAAACACCACAACCAAAAGCAACTTGGGGAGGAGAGGGTTTATTTTAACTCACTGTTTGTAGTCCATGGTACCCAGAAGCCAAGGCAGGAGCTCAGGGCCAGATCCCGAGGCAGAAACCCAAGAGAGGAACGCTGCTTACGGGGTTACACCCTTCCAGCCTGGCTCCCCTCGGGTAGCTTTCCTGCACAGCGCAGCCCATCTGCTTAGAGATGGTGCCACCCACAGTGGGCGCTGGGCTCTTCCACGTCCATTAGCAGTCACCCACAGACATGCCCATGAGTCAGTCTGATGGAGGCAATTCTTCCCAGGTTGGTCAAGCTGATAAACAAGTTTAGCCACCATACTCCTGAAAGCAATTTTGATAGATAGACAGGAGATAGAAGGAAAGAATTGGGATGCTGGAAGTACATCCACCCCAGTGGAACAGACTGATCACCTAAATGTGTTAGCATATAGTATACACTACTTCCTGGTACATTTGACACTTTTCCCATTCCCTGTAGACACCAATAGACCAGAAAGCAGCCTGAAGTCATCCTCCAGTGAAGGAGAGAGAGGATAATGCAGGGCCTCCCTTTGTGAGAGGTATTTGTCACAGAACTGGCAGATCTGTATTTCTCAGCCCTACACTCTCCTTTTTGGTCAGAATGTCTATTCTAGGCTGTACACTATTGTATGACGTTATTTCTGGAGATTCATGAATGAACTGTGTGCTCACCCCAGGAAAGGGAACTGACATCAGACTAAAGTAATGAAACCACCCTAGTGAAACTACCCTAGTCCAACTTGGTGAACCAATGAATTTCATCGAGGTAACTTATAGGAGCAGAAATGATTCACAGACAGCTACGTCACCAAAGCCCACCCCAGCATGAGTGACAGCTCACAAAAGTGGGAACCCGGAGCACACTGCACAGCCTGCAGGCCGCTCAGCAGGTTGGAGAACGTCCTTCCAAGCATCTCTTATCTGTTCTTGTTTTCCAGGCAGCTTGGTTGGAAGTCTTCTAGCCAGCACAGCCGAGAGAGTCTGAGAGTGTAACATGAGGGGGCCGGCTTGTTGGGGTTTCCGTTTCTGCCCAGTACCACACAGCCGGCAACTCCCAAGGAAAATCATACACAGGACTCCTTAAGAATATAAGCTGATTGGCCCATTAGGTCAGGCTTCTTGTTAACTCCTATAACTTATATTAACCCATTATTCTTATCTATGTTAGCCATAATGGCTCCGTACCTTTCTCAGCTGGGCAAGTTACATGCTGCCTCTTTGGTGGTCTGCGCAG